TACACTCTCATCTTCATACGTCTCATCCAGACTCCCTCATTATGAAGTCATTGAATTTGTTAATATCTTTTTAAACTCTGGCACTGGGAAGTGAGTTCCATATGCCAGATGCAGTCTGGTCAATGTTGACGATGGGGAGATTATAACTACCTGTTATCTGAACACTCTATTATAGGCTACACTTTGATTCCGTTTTTTTATAGACACAAAAAACCCAGGGCCACGGTACTGCTCAACGTCAGGGGATGCCATTCAGATTATATAATCCTCAAGTTCAACCTGGCCCCTGGGTCCTGATTTTTTAAATCTCCAAAATCCATATTTGCTCCCCTCTGCATCAGATCATGAGAGGTGCTCTTGAACCCTCCTTATCCTAAAACTCCAGGTGAAGAGACTGGTCTCGTGAATCGTACTGTAACATTCCTGCCTTGCCAGCCGTTGATCAGACCAGATATCATCTTCTTATCACCAGGCCATATATAACAACACCATGAACAAAACAGGGCACAGAGTATCTCTACCCAATATTGCTTCCAGGTGACATCTTGCAAACACAAGTCAAACCAAAGCCTAGAAGCTTGTTTAGATAGACAAGAACTTCCAGTCTTCTTGAGAAGCCAGGATTCCAAGGGGGTGCTTTGGCTAGCACTATAGGTAACTGATGCCTTTTTAGACTTAACTAATTGTGGAGGGGTGCAGACTGTGTAAAAAATAGGCAACAAAGTATCAAAGGATTACAAGGAAGTACAGGTGGAATAAAGGTTGGGTAAGAGACTAAGAGCTGCTGAGATAATCTTATTGATGAAAATCCTGATTTTATTAATCTTTTATCCATGATTGATTAGAGCATAGTGTTTGCCTGGTTCTCTTTTACATAATATCTAACCTACAGTTCCCCTTATATTCTCCCAGTTAAAGGGTGTTGTCCTGTACCTTTGTTCCCAAATACAGAGTGAGGCCACTGTTGGACCAGTTCAAGTTGGTCCAGAATAAATGTGGTTACATAACCCTGTTTCCCAAGTAGATTATTGCCCAGAGTGTTATCCTGCTGGCCTCTTTTTTTTTTTCCTTAGGAAGTTTTATTTTATTCTAGTTACTCTTACTCCCTTAAGAGGACTCCAACCCCTACTTCCAACAAAACCTGTAGTAAATCAATCTGCTTATAGATCTAGAAAGTTCATCACTTCGGAAAAAAAAAATCTCTAATTTGGTTTAAACCTGGACCAAAGCTTTGTTTTCTTGATCAAAACAGACAAAAAATAGAAATAAAAGCTGTTAAATAATCCGAATAACATGCCAAGAGTTTTCCAATTTTCCTTACTCCTTGCTCATAGTTCAAGGTGATGTAAAGCTAACCCAAATCTCAGACTGACTCAGATCACTGCCCCAGGGATGGATCCATTTGCTGGGTCTGAGCCCATAACAAAGCCCGTTTGGATCAAGGTATGCCTCTTCTCAGTATTAGAGTCAAAACTTCCATCTGGAATCTGATCATCTGGGTTGCTTAAAGATACTTTAAAAAAATATATATATATATACACACACACACACACATATACATATATATATATATATGTTCATATATATATATATATATATATATACATACATATTTAAATCAGGACTCATCTGGTAGTATGAACATTCCCAGCTCAACATCTGATACCATCAGAATAGTTTAAACATGTGTTGATGGTATCATAAAAGGAAGGAAACTCATGAACATTTCCCTGCTGCTTTGTTTTTTGTTAATAAATTGCTAAGCCACTATATGAAACTTGTGAATAGCCTTTTTCAAGCATAAATGTGGTGCTGCATACAGGCAGTCTTTCTCTGTGTCAGCCTCAAAACTGCTAACTGGGAACCAATATCTGAAAATGTTTATATGAACTTTTATTTATTTTTTTACTTAAATTCAGTTAATTAACATATAGTATAGCATTAGTTTCAGAGGTAGAGTTCGGTGATTTGTCAGTCTTATGTAACACCCAGTGCTCATTACATCTCATGCCTTCCTTAATGCCCATCACCCAATTACCCCATCTCCCCAGTCCCCATATGAAAGTTAATACCAGAAAGTATAACACTCTTAGGTTGCTGATGCCAATATTTAGGGTTACCTCTCACTTAAGGAGAGCACTCTCCAGTCACTCCAAATAAATCCAAAACACCATGTCTGCAAATCTGAATGCAGTCTGTTTTCTGGTATGTGTTGCAAGTCTCTTAATTAGTCTCTCTGGCCTCATTCTCTTCCTCTTCTGATAATACTACACCTGGGCAATAAACATGTCTCTTAAAATGCCAGCAATGGAAATGTGGAAGTTCTGAGGGAAGCTAAATTTGGAATGAATGTGAGTTCACTTTGAAGCATATTGAGTCTGAGGAGATGAAAGGGCATTAAGGAGGGGACATCACAAGGACAGTCATAGATTGAGGAAGTGCAAAATGTGATTACATCATGATGTATAAATGCAAGCCATAGAAATAAAGATGGTAGAATCATGGGATCTCCAAGTGTAAAGTCTGAGAGTAGTGGTGAGCAACCTCTTTTGTTTCCTCCTCCTCCCCCTCCCCTTCCCTCCTCTTCCTCCTCCTCCTCTTTTTCTTCTTCTTTAAAGGACCATTTAGGGGTGCCTGAGTGGCTCAGTGGGTTAAGCATCAGACTGTTGATTTTGGCTTTGGTCATGAGATCATAGGGTCATGAGATCAAGCCCTGCGACAGGATTGCTTGAGAGTCTCTCTCTCTTCCTCTGCATACCCCTTCTGAAGGGAAAAAAAAATAAAAGAACAACTTATAAGGAGCAGAAAATGTTTATGAACCTTATTTTTAGAACACTCAAAGTGAAAATAGTGTTACTAACTGCTGTAACAAGAACTTACATTCCAGGATGATTATTAAGATAAGAATATCTATTCTCTCTCAGGCAGGGTTTTCTAGCCTGTCCTAGTTTGATACATTTGCGATGTGGAATTTAAGGTGAGTGGATTGTAGACATGAGTGGAAAAGTGAGAAGAGAAGGGGGTAAGTTAGCCAGAAAGGAGTTAAGTCAACCTTTAAAGTGTTGGAAGAAAGGGAGAAGGGAGATGACCCAAAGCCTAATAAACTGGGTTCTAAAGAAAGAGTTTGAAGGTTTTATGTGAGACTAGAGGAAATAGAATGGAACTCAAGGGGGGCTCTGTAACCATAAATGGATTCCTCTAATGTTCTTTGAGAACAGTAAAGGTAAATAAAGGTTGGAATAGGTTTTTAAAATTACTGTGATCCTGAGCAGAGGCTCAGATATACGGGACTCCAGGACTTGCTAGGGTCACAAGAAAAACGCCAATGGGAAATTTGGCAATGGTTCCGAATTGCTAAAATGTTATCTGCTCATACTAAGGAGTCATGACACAAAAACAGCTTTCAAATCTTTTATAACTTAATTTACATTGCTTTTTAGAGCTTCTATATGTTTTCACATTTCTATCTCATGTTACCTTTGGAATGATTCCTTAAATTATTATCATCCATAATTTACAGATGGGGAAATTGAAACTTAGAGAAGTGAAAGCCAGAAACAGATCAGGATTAATGATTAGTTCCAGTCAATTGAACATCTGCTGAGCCTTGCTGACTGAAATTCAGGTTGTGCTCTATATTGGAGATGTAAAAATGGTAAAAATGTGCATGCCATCCTCAGCCATTCTTTCTTTACTCTTTCCCAGTTCTCTCTGAAAGGACTCATATCTCCTCTCAGCCTGGACTTGGTTCATAAAGAGATCTAACTCAGAGCATCACCGACACAAACAGCAAGGTTCCAGAAAGAATCAATTCCAGAGTCCTCTGGCCATGCCATGCCTGTGACGTGGTCATCAGAATTGCAGGATAAGGAAGAGATGGGAACTCTTATGCATTACTGAGCAGAGACGAAATTGGTGCGATTGCATCGGAAGGCGATTTGACAATATCTATTAAAACGAAAGATGCCCTTATCTTACAATCTAACAATTCCACTTCACTATATATACCCAAGAAACTCCCTTAAATGTGTAAATGAATATTCAGGGAAGTATTGTGTATAACAGAAAAGTAATTGGAAACAAACTAAATGTTCATCAGCCTGAGAGTGGTTAAGTAAATTGTTGTATGATCACAGAGAGGAATATGATCTGGTAGTTAAAATATGTGAACTAGAACTGGAACTATAATACGCATCAATCTCAAAAAATAAAATATCTAGCGAAAACAATAAAGTGGCAGGAGATCCATAAAGCGTGCTACCATTTACATTAACTTTAGACCCATGAAACAATGGTACATATTTCTATGTGTGATAAACATTTAAAAAATATTCACAGTAATAATAACTCCAAATTCAGGAGAGTTGTTACCTCTGGGGAAGAAGGATAATGAAAGCATAGGCAGAAGCCTTTAGCCAAATCTGTATTTTCCCCCCTGAAAAAGTGGATCAGAAACAAATAATGCAAAAAGTAAATATTGACAAAATTGGGTGGGAGGGACGCCTGGGTGACTCAGTTGGTTAAGCAGCTGCCTTCGGCTCAGGTCATGATCCTAGCGTCCTGGGATCGAGTCCCACATTGGGCTCCTTGCTCGGCGGGGAGCCTGCTTCTCCCTCTGCCTCTGCTGCCACTCGACCTGCCTGTGCTCGCGCTCTCTCTCTCTCTGGCAAATAAATAAATAAAATCTCTAAAAAAAAAAAAAAGTAATTTATTTAAAAAAAAATTGGGTGGGAAAGGTGAGTTCATATTATTATTTTGTATCCCTTATATGCTTGAAATATTTCACTTAGAAGTATATAGGGGTCTTCAACCCTGGAATTCTGGATTTTTTTTTCCTTTGTGCAGAAATTTCTTTTTTTTTTTCCTTTTCTCATGTTGAAATTCCATCCATTCTATGGTATTTAACTCAAGTCTCACTACCTTATTGAGAAATTCTGTGACAGTTTTGTCAGTCTATACTATGCTCTATAAAGTTCTGTAGGTCTATAAGTTTTTCTTATATTCTATGATGACTTTATCAAAATGAATTTCATTCTTCTGAGTATGCTGAAGCTACCTACTAGGTACTGAGAAAGAGTAGAAAAAAAATGAAGTTCTCTCATACACTGTGTTTGTATGGCCAGAATCCTTTCATGTTATTGTTTAAATATATACTGCCTTGCATTAATATTTGGCTGTATTGTACACAAGCCTTGTCTCTCCAATTATATTTTAAGAGCCTTAGGAGCAGGGACAACGTCTTGAACTTTTAAAATTCTTCCCTAGTGCCCAGTGGAGCCTAACCAAATGCTTAGTAATGAAAAGTGGTGCATAAACCAATAATTATTATCCTCCCTGCAAAACCTTTATATAGAAAGTTGAAAATACTAGTTGGAGCTACATTTGCTTTTATTTTCCCAGAGAGAGAATAGTAATGAGCTGTGAAATGACCAAAACTCGGGCAGCAGAAGGGGGGAAAAAAAAAGAAAGAAAGAACGGGTTTGTGTTTTACACATTCTGGATAATCAGCTCTTGAATGATTAAGTGTGGAAAATCTCTTATGAGTAACAGCAGATTTTAAAAATTTGTTTTATGACTATGGACGTGTGTTGTAGATCATTTCCAGTTTTCAGATGATCCCAGGCCAAACTTATGAATTATTTTGGAAAAACATTTCCTCTTATGATATACTACATAGCCACGCACAATATACCTTGTTGTCATTCTGCCTTCATTCCAATATTTATCGGACTACACTTGGGAACGGTGGTCCAGGGAAACTAAAACACAAAGGGTGTTCCAACTGTGGGATCAGGAAAGGGCTCTGGAGAAAAACAAATTACTTTGGGTCTAATTTACCCTTAGTCCGTCTTGTAAAAGGTGTTTGGTCCTTGAGTCAACCAGGGTACTCGAAACCTCTGAGAAAAATGTTGGTCTCTATGAGCCCAGGATTAAAGCTAAACCGCATAGGGAGTGGTAAGAGGTCTGGACTACATTGTCTCTCCTCAGAACCAAAAGCTGGGTATTGAGGAATGACATAAATGTAAGAATCAGTACAGTTACTTTTCGTAAAAGCAGCAACTGTTTAGTCAAAACTGCTACCACATCGTGTCTGAAGAGTTTCCTATGAAACTTTGTAATATTTTATTAAACCAGGCCACTGTCTTGTGGTTCTTTGGCCTAAGTACTGTAACACTCAAAATACAATTCTTTAAAATAAAACTTACCTACATATGTATATGTGACTGCCTTTTTAACTCCACAGTATACCTCAGGGAATTATATCTATTATTACCCTCCTCTATCTCTATGTCATTTGAATCCTAGTGAAGACAATTAAAGGCACAAAAATATCTTGCAGTTTGGTAAGAGATCATATATTCCCTCATTTTCACTCATTTGTAAATGTAGTATTGAAGCAAAACTTTGAAGCAAAGTGACCAGAGTATTCCTATAGTAATGGTCTCTGCAATTTTTCCTTTCCCTAAATAAAGTGAAGTAAACAAAGTTCTTTTATACAGATAATATATGTAATTAATAGATTGGGTTTTCGAAGTTCCCTAAAGGATAAGTGTTTGTAACTTGGAATTAATTTCCCATGGAAATACTGTGATTACGATTAGATTTAAAACCCAATACAAGTAGGTATGAGAGGATAGTTGATTAAGAAATTGTATCTCATTCTCTTGTCTATAAAGTTATCATAGAAAAATGAGAAATATTTTTCCCTTCTCCAGCCTAGAGGGAAATTGGTTGGGTTGAGGGAGGGAGGGAGGGAGGGAGGGTTGAGATGGTGATTTTCTAAAGCCTCAGAGAGATAGAAAACACAACTATCTGGCAGAGAAAGTGTTCCAAAAAAAAAAAAAAAAAAAAGGTGGGGGGATGCCTTGGCTTCAGGAGAATTTGGATCTGTTGAACCCAGAAGGAGAGAGAACCAGACAAAAGTCAGTTTCCAGAAAAGGTAAAGATCTATGTCTACTCCCAGATAACAGATCAGAATGGTATACACCTCTGAAGAGGATGCCAGCAAGGATATCTTGTCTCAGAAGTAGTAAAAGTATAATACTAAGCTGAAACAAGTCAAGGGTACATATTATAAACTCTAGGGTTACTATTAAGAGAATAATAATATTATGTATAAATAACATAATGCATAAATAGAAGATAGTATAATAATTTTTTAAAAAATAGTTAATGAAACCAAAAGAAGGCAAGAAAGAAGATAAAAAAAAGGACCAAGTAACCAGTAGGGTAAATAGAAAACAGAATTGTAAGATGTTAGCTATGAATCCAAATATATCATTACTTACCATAAATATAAATGTCATAATATTTCACTAAAAACCAAAGATTTCCATACTGCTTTTAAATATATGGGGTGCCTGGGTGGCTTAGTCAGTTAAGCATCTGACTCTTCATTTTGGCTCAGGTCATGATCTCAGGGTTGTGAGATGAGGCTCGATGCTCAGCACGTAGTCTGCTTGAGATTCTGTCCCTGTCCTTTTGCTGCCCCACCCCTGCTCATGCATGCAGGGTCTATATGTGCATGCTCTCTCTCTCTCTAAAATAAATAAATCTTTAAAAAATAAATATATATTTAATAATGTAATAAATATATATGTTCTTTTTCAAAAGATATAAAAGTTACAATCTAAAATAATACCACAGAAGTACCCAAGAGAGTGCCATGCCCCTTCAGACCAGCTGCTTCCATCAGATTTCCGTGGTCATAGTCCCAGTTTGGAGCTGTAGTGCCTCTGGATGGGGGTGGTGCTGGGCTCTGTCCTTTAAACAGAGAGAGGTCAGGACAGGGTCAGTATTTTGGGCATGTGTATATCTTCCCAAGTTCTCTTACAGTTCCTAGTGGGACTCCCTGACTTATTCTGGTTTGTGCCCACTGCTATCTCTTTTATAAAATAGATTTAGTAGAACTGATTGATCACCATGGTTATTTAATGTGAGTTTGCACCTTTTTGTCTTAATCTTCCAAAACAGGTATATTGGGGAGAATAATAAAATCCTAGACATGAATGAATGAATGAATGAATGAATAAATAAATAAATAAAAATAATACCACAGAAAAGTAAAGGTAAAAGAAAGAAAGACATTTTATACAAACACGAACCCAAAGTAAGCTGGTATAGCTATACCTTAAAGTAAACTTTAAGTAGACTTTAAGAAAAGAGGCATTATTAAAAATAAAGTGTGATATTTCACAACAATAAAAATATTAACCTATCAGGGAGCTATAACAATTCTAATTTTGTATACAACTAACAATAAACTACAAAATATGTAAGGCAAAGGAACTGCAGAAACAGCAAGGAATAATGGATAAATCTACAATCACAGCAAGAGGATTTAATATATTGTGAGTGTCTGAAAGAATAAGGAGATGAAAATTAGTAAAGGTACACAACATACAATAGATCTCTGGGTTCTGATGATTTCACCAGTGTATTCTTCCAAATACTTAAGGAAGAAGTAACACCAATTGTATATAAACTCTTTCAGAGAACAGAAAAAGGAAATATCAGCATATTTTATGAGGTCAATAAAATGTTGATCCCCAAACCTGAGAAGGTCATTACAAGAAAGGAAAATTACAGACCAGTCTATTTGTTATCAAAGATGAAAAAACTTCTGGGTACACTTGGGTAGACCAGTTGGCTAAGCATCCAACTCTTGATTTTGGCTCAGGTCATGATGTCAGGGTCATGAGATTGAGCCCCGTTTTAGGTTCCATACTCAGCAGGGCATCTGCTTGAGATTCTCTCTCCCTCTTCCTCTGTCCCTCCCTCCACTCTCTCTGTAAAATAAGTAAATCTTTAAAAAAAAAAAAAGATGAAGAACTTCTAAATTAAATATCAGCAAAACAAACCCAGTAATATATTAAACATAAAATTGTGCTTACTTCAAGCATTCAAGCATAAAATCTCATTATACATGCAATTAATAGTATAAAAGAAAGTATATATATATTCATCCTTGTAGATACAGAAAAGGAATTTGATAAAATTCAGCATTCATTCATGATTTAAAACTCTTAACACACTAGGAATTTCCTCTCTTTTTGGTAGTCTTTTATTTTGAAATAATTTTAGACTTCTAGAGAAGTTGCAAAAAAGAGAAAGAACTCCTATAACACCTTCACAAAGATTTATAATTATTTACATTTTATCACATTTGTTTTATTAATGCCACTCTGTCTATATTACTTTCCTGAACCATTAAAGAGTAAGACATGATATCTCTTTATCACTAAAATACTTCAGTGTGTATTTTTAAAGGACAATCCTCTTATATAACATAGTAAAATTACCAAAACTGGGATATATTATCTAATATAATTTATAGACCTTACTATATCTCACCAATTTTCTTAATACTATTTTTTTATAACAACAACAAAAAAAGTTTTTTCTGGTCCAGAATCCAATCCAGGAAAACACAGTACATTAGTTATCATGTCACTTTCGTCTTTTAAAATCCCAAATACTTCATTACCTTTACTTTTTATTTTATGACCCTGACATTTTGAAGAGTACAATCTTGTTACTAAGTAGAATGTACCTGTACTGGGTTCAATTAATGTTTCCTCATGAATAGATTCAGATCATGCATTTTTGGCAGGAATACCAAAGAAGTGGTTTTATGCCTGTGATAGTGTATTACATCAGGAGGCCCATGGTGTTGGTTTGTCCCACTATTGGTAATGTTGACTTTAATCACCCAGTTAAGGTGATGTCTATCAGGTTCCTCTGTTGTAAAATTACATTTTCCTCTTTGTAACTAAAAGTATTATAAGTGGAGATGTTTTGAGACTATATAAACATCTTGTTTTTCATTAAATTACACTCACTAATTTTTAACATCTTTTGATGATTCTTTCCTGAGTTAACAATTACTCTGATAACAAAATAATTATTTCCAATCTAATCATTCCTTATATATTTATTGGTTAGAATTCTAAAAATGGGTCAGAGACTTGAACAGGTACTCCAAAAAAAGAGAATATCCAAGTGACCAATAAACATAGCATAAGTACAAGTTAAAATCAGAAGATGTGACACAACTGGAACTCTCTTCAATGCT